ATATATATGTATATATATATATATATATTCTTAAATATGTAAATACAATCTGATCAGTCTATATAATATTACTTATAGTGAATGTCACAATAATTACTGAAAAACGAGGCCATGAATTTGAAAGAGAACATGGAGGGATATTTGGGAGAGTCAGGAGGAACAAAATGCATGGTAGTTTGAATGAGAATCATACCCCAATATGCACATTTATATGAATGTTTAGTTTTCAGTTAGTGGAACTGTATAGGAAGGATTAAGAGGTGTGGCCTTGTTGGAGGAGATGTGTCACTGAGAATGGACTTTGAACCTTCAAAAGTCCACACCAGGCCCAGTGTCTCATTCTCTGCCTGCTGCATGTGGATCGGGATGTAAAGCTCTCAGCTCTATGCCTGTGTGCTTCCTGCCATGATGATCATGAACCAAGCCCCTAAAATTCTAAGCTGGCTCCTAATTAAATGATTTAAATTATAAGAGTTTCCTTGGTCATGGTATCTCTTCACAGCAACAGAACAGTAACTAAGGAGAAAAAGGAAGATGCAAATGATTTAATTATATTAATCTCAAAAGCTGAAAGTAATGATTATTGAAAAGCTAAAAATAGATTTATCATACAGCTGAGCTGTATCCTTCCTAAGATGACTCTTGGTGGCTGTGTTTGGAGTTGGCCAAGCAGAAAAGCAGAAGGGTTGATATGTTCACCAGAGGGAGAGGATGGGCTCTGAGTACATAATAAGTACAGAGGTTATTGTTTTGTTAATCTATTTCCCATTGTAAGACAGTTCTAATTAGACTGTTTTTGATGTTGAGTGCCCTCCTTAGGGGCCTCATGCTGAAAGCAATTCATTTAATTAGATATTAAACTTGAAGCTGTACTAGTTTGCCTTAACTCTGTCCAACAGATTTAGTGTTAAGTGTTCTTCCATGTTATTGAATGAATGATAATGAATATAATGAACAATACTGGCCCATTTGATGTTTATTGAAAATAAAAATACACATTGAAGTAGTTTATTTGAGACAGGGTTTCTCTATGTAGCCTTGACCATCCTGGAACTCACTTGGTAGACCAGGCTGGCCTCAAACTTAGAGATCTGTCTGCCTATGCCTCCCAAGTGCTGATGTTAAAGCTGTGTGCAACCATGCCTAGCTACACTGAAGTAATTTAAAGGGGGGAAAGGAGGGATTTTCTTCTAGGCAATCCTGGTTAACAACAAGCAACCAAGCCAAAAGAAAACTGCCAATATTTGAAAACTCAAAAAGTATGAAATAGTAGACTATCTTAATTTATGCCTCCTTCAAGGGGTATCACTATTAAAAGTTCCTTTTGAAACTTAATATGCATGTTTTCCTTCTTCAATTTATATTATAAAGTGCTTAACTTGGTTTTAATTTCATACACTTATAATGTTTCTTATATTGACCATATAAATTTTATACTTTTTCTTAAATTATGGCATTGCATTAAACTAGATGGATGAAATTTAGTTAGCTAGACTGGATAGATGTTCATGTTTGTTTCTTTTCCCAATAAAATTGTTGTAATGATCTTTTACACATATATTTTAGCACTATATTGTACTTATTTATGGAGGATAAATTCTTTTTTTTTTAAGATGAGACATGTTGACTAGTTTATTATATGGCCTGGCAGAGTAGGGAGACTAAGAGAGAAGAGGAACAGGGATAATGGCTGACCGCCGTGGCCAGTCGCCATTGAGAGGCAGAGAGAGTGCATAGGTGAGAGAAGAGAAGGAACAGAGAGTAGAGAGTAAAGAGAGGAAGCAGAGAGAGTGAAGCAGGAAAGTTGGAGCTTTTAAAGGGAAGACTGTGCATGCACACTGAGGTTCCACGCATGCCCAGAGATCTCCTGCGTAGCAGGTGACGTGATGATGACGTAGCACGTTTTCTTGTGCGTGCCCTGTTGTCAGGGAGCAGGGTCTGTCTCTGAAAGAGATAGAGCCAATCAGCATCAAAGCCTGAACCTTTCATTCCCACCTCTACTTATTATTTAAAAAGGTGGGGTGTTAGACATGGCAGGTTAAGGAATAAGGGCGTCGAATTCTCAAGACTGCTTCCTGCTGACGTTGGGGGCATTGACCATCTTTGGGGGACCTGAGAAGGTTGGGGTGCTGCCACGTCCTGGGGTAGCTGGTTTTTTCATTGCAGTCCAGGCTGTACGGAACTCCCTGTTTGGATCCAATTCAGCAGTTCCCGAGGAGTCCTAACATGAGGGAAGAGAGTCCTGGGACCAGGGAAAGATTGAATAACTGGAGTGAATCTGACCTGTTTGTTTGGATCTAATTCAGCTCCCTGAAACGTAACAAGAATCCTTAGAGTTTGTGGAAACATAAGTATTAGACACATTAGCAGCTTATTCATGTTAGAAGCAACTTGTCTGAAAGCATTACCATTTTAAAATTGACAGATTTTTTTTAGGATAATAAAAAGCATCTTAATCTTGACCTAGTAGTTATGATCATACAGTGGTATTGTAGAACTGACTATGAACAGTAGCATGAGAAATAGAGAAATCAGGAACATATTTCATTCTTTTTAATGTCTCAACTCACTTTATCATCACATAAGCCTTTTTATCCTCAGACTTTTTATACCTTTAATTCACACTTTACATTACCATCTTAGACATTCCATTCTCAGACCTTCATAACTTGCATTTATCCACTGTGTTAGACCTTTCCATCCTCAGACCTTCATAACTACATTCTCATAACTTTCATTTATCCACCATGTTAGACCTTTCCATCCCCAGACCTTCGTAACTACATTTTCCTATCTTCACATAGATAAATCCTAAAATACCTGTTCCTGGAATCTGTTTTGCTTTAAGCTGGCAAGACTACCAGTTGTCAAAAGCATCAGAGTTCTTGAGAAGGATAAGATTTTACCTGAATCAATGATTAAAGAATAACAGAGACTTGCCAGCAGGCTGCATGGAAAGCCACCCCAAGGTCCTCCATCCATAGTAGTAGACTGCAGGACACCTGCCTTCTTGCTAATAGCATGTGACCTGTGGATTACAGACTATAGGAAAACTCGAATACCGTTGGCCCAAGCAATGCAGGGAAAGTCAATTCCACTGTTCTCTTGTCCACAGTCTGGAATACTTTGTAGCAGTTGACCCCAAGCAACTCGGGGAAAGTCTATTCCACTGTCATCTTGTCCACGGTCTGGAGTACCTTGTTGAGGTGAAGGGCAGAGTTGCTCAGTGACTAGC